AAATGTATTTAAAGGGTTGGTTTTTGACTTGGTCAAAGAATAACTCTCTTCCTAACTTTTCTCTTGACCATATCTCTCGATATAATCCAAATAACCTTAATTTGCAGATTGTTTATCAACCAGGGGATTTTAATAGAAAATGTGGGGCACGTTTACTAATTAAAAAAAATAATCGACCATGTTTGTAAAATGGTTAAAATTTATATTTCACTAAATTTGGTTTATAACTATAGAAAAAATGTCAAAAAACATGAAAATAAAAAAAAATTTGTATTTTATTATACTCAATAAAAAAAAGCTATGTAAGTAGTCAATATTGAGAAGGGTTTTTTATATATAAAATGTATGTCGATCAAAAAATTTTTATTTAATTCACGGAATTTATATATATTAATATATATATGTATATATATACATAAATATATAAATTTTTTTATTTTCAAAAATAATGGCAACTACTTCTATAGTAAATCATAACAAACAAAAAAATTTTTATAAATTATTATCTTGTGGTTCTATTGTTCCAGAAATTCATTATGGTCCATTTTCTATAAATTGGTGGACCACATCAATACAAAAAAATAATGCTTTACCATATAGAATAGGAATGAAAGTGCAAGTGGAGCTATCTAATATTATCTTTTTAATGGAAATAGTTCTTAATACAGATTTAAAATCTGGCTTTAGTTGTGAGGTAGGTGAAGAATCAATTGTATGCGAAACACCTTCTGCAGCAATCAATTATATGTACAAAAAAATTACAAATAAGAAAGGAACAACATATTCTGGAAATGTTGTGTTAGGATTTGATAATTTAGAAGTAACAAATGAATTATTGAAGGATGTAGATTTTCAACCTTTCATGGTTACTTTAGAAAATATAAATATTTTTATTTTTGCAATTGGTTCAGGATGGAATGCAAATTGGGATGGTGTTGGTGAAGGATTTTGTTCATCTTTCACATCAAGATTCAAATCAGAATCATGTCATTTTGTGCAAAAGATAATTAAAAACAATTGCATAATTGAGATCTATAAAGGTGATGAATGTATAGCAAATTTTAGTGGAGCAACCCCAACAGAGGTTTGGAAAAAGACTGGAGTTTTAAAAAAATACAAAGGTGAAGAGCTTTTTGGTGTTTCACATACAGTTGTGTCAAATGAATTTCAAAATATCAACAACAACAATCAACAACTGCTACTTGTTTGCCAGAAGAGTGGAAAAATTGAGAAATTATTGATAAAATTTTTGAAGATAATCTCAAAAAAAAAATAGGTGTATCAGGGTTAAATTGGTACTCTATTTTTGATAGTTTTTATGAACAAAAAAGCTCCATAATTGAATTGACTTCATCTTTAAAAAAAATTTATCCACAAGAACATGAGTTTACTTCTCGTGAGCTTAGAGCTTGGCATACAATGATGTCAAGAGTAGGTTGTCATGATGTAACACCATATCCAAAAGAGAATTCAAAGGTATAGAACATTTATTGCTTTATGTAATTTCATATAAACAATAGAAATTTATATATCTTTGATTTTCAGTTAGAGTATTGGAGTAAATCAAAAGATCCTACATTAGATCATGAAAATTTATTGAATTTATACCAAATCGGAGTCTTGAGTAATTCAAATGAGACAAGATTTTGGGATTCATTTAGTAATCTATTGGTGCCAATGTCAGAGGAATGAATGGCAAACAAAGAATTTTGTCCATAATTGCTGATGAATTTAAATATGAAGAATTAGAATCAAAGTTAAAGGTAATTGATATAATTTTCTGATTTAATTTTCAAAAAATTTGTCATTTTATTATATTGTAATCATGTATTAGGTATCAAGAGATTTAATTACATCAGCAAGAAGATATAGTAGACTTAATGGTCCTGGTGGTATTGCATTATCCAAACCTATATTTAAAAGAAAAAAAATGATTGAAGGCAAAGAAAAACAATTTGAGGCTTTTTTTGCTGACAGGAGTAATGTAAATATGAGTTCTTATAAAGTGGGTGCAAAGAGAAATATGCCAATATTGTATCTGAGAGATCAAAAATCGGAGCTATGGAATAAATTTTTACAAGAATATCCTGATGGCATGAAAAAAACTTCCTTTATGGCCAGATTGGAAAATGGACCATTCAAATATAGAGAGGATCTTGGTGGGCTATGTTCAATATGTAACACATATTGGGGTGTACGATGGACTAATGTAGATCAAAACTAATTGACATCATATATAAAATTTTCTAATTAACTTTTTTTCAACGAATATAAAAATAAAAATTGCATCCTCTCCTTCAAAAAAAAAGATACAAGTATGAAATTAAGAAAAATCGTAATAAATGTGATGCTGAAGATTGTGACAGAGAGTTTTTTTTAATTTTATTAGTAAAATCATCCAAAATGTCAAAAATACTGTTAAAACTTTGAAACGTATAGGCTCAATAACCAAACAAGTTAGAGTAAAAAAATTTCCATAGTTTTTTTCTCTGTGATTCAAAGAATAGCCTGACAGAGAGTTTTTTTAAAAATTATTAGTAGAACAAGGATTTATAAGAATTCAAAGTTGTGCGATTTTATTAATAAAAAATTTTTGATCTTTTTTTTCTTCAAAAATCTTTTCCTTTTGAAGAAATGCTTAACGTTAATAAATAAAATAAATAAAATAAATAAATAAATAAATAAATATATAAATAAAATATGATTTAAAGGTAGCGAAAAATATTGGTTAATTTCTTCTAGGTATTAAAAAACTCTGTGCTAATTTTTTAGCTGCTTCTTCCCCAACAGCAAGATCTGTGGATAAAGAAGTTTCCTTTCGTCTTTTCATTCGAATTGCTGTTAATTTTTCTTTAGTGATTTCAAAATCTAATGGGGTAGGACTTGAAAGTTGGAGCCTGGCTTCCTGTAACGATTCACTCATGTTAGGGTGAGTTTTGATATCATATTTGTTGAACATTCCTTCAATATGTTGTTGATGGACTATAATTGACCAAATTCGATGTTTAACAAATTCATATATTAATGGAAATCTTTGCATTTGGGTGTAATCAGCTTTCGAAAATGCAACAAATTGCTCTCTAAACTCATATTGCTCCAATGCTTCAAATAATCCAAAAGAATCACTTCTTCCTTCTTCTAAATTTTTTTTTAACTGTTTTACATATTTTTTTAATCTTGTAGTAGGTTCATCAGGTAGAGGATAAGATAATACTATATGGTTAACAGCTTGAGCAAATTCAGGACCACTCTCTCCTCCAAGACTACATATACAAAACGGAAGGTGAGTCCAAGTAATCATCCACTTTTTGAATGCTTCAAAAGCTTTTTCAATACCTAATTGTACTTTATCTGCCAAATTTAGAAATTCTTGCTCATTTAATAGGTCACGGGCTGTCTGCAATTCCTTTATAAAAATTTCATCAGGACTCTGTAAAGCATTTTTTAATTCATCAATCCAAATCTCTACCATTTCAGGCATCTGATGAGCACGATATCCATTTGGTAGAGGTTTACTAGAAGTTCCTTGAATAATATAAGGATGTTTATCAGAACCAATTAAAAAATTTATTATTCTTTCATAGAACCATTCCCCAAATTTAACCATTATTAATATTTCTATATTCAACTTTTCATTCAGTAGGAATTCTAGGAATGTTTTCCATTTATGAAGATATCCCTCAGGAACATTCCTTGAGCATTCTAACTCTTGAACAAACCATTGAGTAAATTTAAGATGGATTTCACGTCGTTCTAGGTATTGTCTTGCTGCTATTAATAGATATAACCAACGATTTGTGAGTGGTTTTTGATATTTGTTGAAATCTTCATTCAATAATGTCTTATATAATTTTTTTATAGTTTCATTCTTCATATTCAATGGATTATCTTTATCAGACTCATTGTATCCACTATGAAGATGATAGGCAAGATTTATTACATTAAATGGATGGGGATTCAAGGAGAGACCTGAGGGAGAATTGATTTTCCCAAAGGTTGTATTGTCAAAAGCTGTTGCTGCAATATGAACAACATGCAGGCCACATGGAATCCTGCTTGCATTTGCTCCAAATCTTTTGTTGAAATTAACAACAGCACCATTCTTGGATCCTGACATATAATTTGTGTTATCAGTGAGCCAATATAGACAATGTAAGGGATTTAAGTTAAACGATCTAATGGTTTTTAACACAGTTGTAGATACATTGGTTGAGGTGCAACAATCCAAGTCTTTCATACTTAGGATTGTGATAATAGGTTCCTCTTTGATTGTATTCCAATGTGCAACACATACTAAGAAGATTTTTTTATCTCCTCTTGTGCTTTCATCTGCTAGGATTCCATATGAAGCAAATGTAGAAGTGGAATTTGGAAGATTTTCAATAATTGCAAGTTCTGCTACTTCTTTATTCCATCAAGATAAAGTACTTTTTGAAACCCAAGTATCGGGGGAATGACCATTCAGAAAGGTAAAGACTTCTCTTGTGCACTGGGTTGTTGAAGATAATGACATTTGACCTATATTGCTAATTTGGGATATTAGAGCAGTAAACTCAGGCGTATAGGTATGTTTATTCTCTTTAATCTTTTTTGTTATATTTTTTTGGATCTTTCCTTCTGATACATTTTTTCTTTTCGAAACTAATGATCTCATTCGTGAAATATAAAGATCTCTATTTTGTTCTTGTTTTTTTAGTTTGATGGCCAGAGTTCTCTTCTTCGAAGTAGCTGATTCAATTTTCTTAGTCAACTTTTCATTTTCACTCTTTAATAATTTTATTTTATTTTGGATCCCTGTGGCACTAGAATCTTGTTTTCCCCGATTTGATAGAACTAAATTTAGTGCCTTTTTTTGTAGGTATGATGAAATAATTTCACCCTTATTAATACCATCAGGATAAACCATAATTTCGAGCAATGTAGAACATGCAAAGATTTGTTTTTCTGGTAATAAATTGATTTTGTTTATTAATTTTTGCTTTACTTCTAGAGCCTTATTACTTAATGGTATTGGAACATTATTTTCTTGTTCAATAAGGAGTAAAGGTTCTGAGGAAGTTTTCATTTTTTTGACCACACGTGCATTATGAATTAGTCTTTTTCTTTTATTGGACTTCGGCATTTTATTTATTTAAACTTGAATATTTTATTTTTTACGATTCTTACGTTTCTTATTATTAAGAAAAAGACTTTGCGTTTTCCTTAAAAGGAAATGATTATCAGAAAATCGAAAAATTTTTTTATTAATAAAATCGCACAACTTTGAATTCTTATAAATCCTTGTTCTACTAATAATTTTTAAAAAAACTCTCTGTCAGGCTATTCTTTGAATCACAGAGAAAAAAACTATGGAAATTTTTTTACTCTAACTTGTTTGGTTATTGAGCCTATACGTTTCAAAGTTTTAACAGTATTTTTGACATTTTGGATGATTTTACTAATAAAATTAAAAAAAACTCTCTGTCACAATCTTCAGCATCACATTTATTACGATTTTTCTTAATTTCATACTTGTATCTTTTTTTTTGAAGGAGAGGATGCAATTTTTATTTTTATATTTGTTGAAAAAAAGTTAATTAGTAAATTTTATATATGATGTCAATTAGTTTTGATCTACATTAGTCCATCGTACACCCCAATAACTTATGCCCATAAGTTAAGAAACATATATAACTGATCATGCTACCAAAAAAGCAAGCTTTTCATAAATCGCACTCAACAATTGGGACAACAGTTTTCAGGATCTTATTGACATTCAATTCAATTGATATTATTGTTTTAATTTTTTTGATTTATTATTTTTTCAATTCATTAGATTTATTAAGGTGATTGTTATTATCAATAGCTGATGTAGAAGTTGATGCATGTGCTATGACTTGAACATCATCATCGTCATGATTTTCTATGACATAGTTATTTTTTTCATCCCAAATTATACATTCATCATCACTATCCTTCTCCTTCTCCTTCACATTTTTATCATCATCTATTTGTGATTGATTTTTATTATCTTCTTCAACTTGCTGTTCTTCATCTTGATCTAAATTTGTATCAACTGAGATTGTGGCTGAATCATTTGATGATTCTTGTTCATTTGTTTTGGTATTTTTGAATAATATCTGGGTTCCAAAGTTAATAACAGGTAATCTAATAACAATTAATAAAATGTTGAATAATGTGAATTTTATTGTTATTACAATTATTATTGTAATAGCTATTTTTAATTCATACCTTGAAACTTGATTATTTAATGATCCAGTAGTTTGTGTTCTTGTATTTATTCTATATGTTAAAATTTGCATTTTATATATTAATAAATCTAATATATATATATATATGCTAATTTGACAAAATAAAGTTTTAAAATCATTTTTTTTACCTTTTTGAAATTTTTACTAAAGCTGTATAAAAGTATATGTTAATAAATAAATTGGATCAAAATAAATTTAAACTAGGTCTAGATAAGCTAGTTCAATTACTTACGGATAGTTATGCCATGAACAAGTAATGAGCTAAGAACCAAGAAATAAACAACTAAAAAATAAATTCTATGCCCACGCAGTCCATCCAACCCACATACAATTTAGCACAACATCATCGGTTGCAAGATCCATCAAGCATTCGATTTGTTGCTTGATGTCGCAACATGTTGTTGGTATACGTGCTCTTATATTGTGATCTGGATCACCTTTTGCTATCCTTTCGAGGCTAGAAAAGAATGGTTTGTGGGAATGGCTAACTGCCAATTCTTCACAAATAAGACCTGATAAAATATTGATATTAATATCGATATTGATAACAGTAATAAAAACAAAGATGCCAAAAAAGATCAATTAATTATGATAATGAAAATAATACAAACTTGCTGGATTCCCAACTTCTAATTTACGCCTTGCAATATTAAGTTTTTTGCGCGGATACCATTCAGTTTGAGATTGTAAATAGTCATCAATTTCATTTAAATTTTGATTTTCTTTTTTTTTTAAAAAAAATAATTATAAATTAGCTATTGCAATTATTAAATTCTAATAAATCGCATCCTTACTTTGTTGTTTTGCTAAGTTTTTTGCACGGGTTAGCCAATCTAGTAATGGTTCTTTTACAAATATTTCCATCACGTTAAGCAAGACCTCCTTGTTCAAATGCATTACTATCATATAAATGATTGTTTGGTTAATTAATTATTGATAAATATGCTTTTTTTTATAAGAAAAAACAAATTACTTTGCATTATTTTGATCATAGGATACTCTAGCAAACCACGTGATCCGAGTGGTTGCATTAAAGATTCCAATTGTTTAGTCAAACGAAATGGAACTAATTCAGGAATCTCCAACGTTTCAGTTGCTGACCCAAACGCATGACCAAAATCTATGGAAATAAGCGTTCCTCTAAACAAAATTTTAAAATTTGTTAATAAATAAACTAATAATAATTATCATCATTGTTATTAACAGTGCTAGAATCTTGAATCAATGTACTTATTTTAGCATTTAGAGTATTAGGAGGTGATATGTACGTATTAGGTATGGTAGATGTTAATGCCAATGATAATGTTGATGATGATGACGATGATGATGACGATGATGATGATGATGAAATGGGATTTAAAACAGGTATTGAAATACTGTTATCTAAAGATGATGATGAACCATTAGTAGCAATAAAACTATTACTAATAATATTGGTAACATTATTATTATTTATTATGTTGTTTATAATAATGTTGGATGTTGCAACAGAAATATTTGTGTCATTTGATGAACTTATACCACTCCTCAATCCATAAAGATAGCCTCTTTTTATGTAATTATTTAAAAAAAAGAAATAATTTCAATGATTATATTGTTATTATTATCGTCATAACAAATAATAATAAATAATAGACTGCTAGACGTACAAGTATTTATCATCAATCTTATCATTAAAAAAGGTTTGTCGCATCTTGAAGAAGGTTGCCGCTGTCAAGAGACTGTCACTACCAGCCTGATGTTGAGGTCCAATTCTTTCCACCTAATTTAATAATAATAATAATAAATAAATAAATGAAAACCCCCTCTTTTTTATTTTATTTCATTTTATTTTATTCTTCTACCTGTAAATCATCAGCAATATCCTGCAATCCACCTTTAAGATTTTTATGGCTTTTCATAAGATATTTTATATCATATATACATGGAAAGTATGTTTTTAAAAGATCAAAAAAATCGTTTTCTTCAGGTGGCAGAGGTGAACAAGTAAGCACTTTGAGTAAATATCCAAAGTCATAACCACTATAAAACATATTATAATAAAATAATGATGAGTTTTTTTCTTTTTGGAGGTCAAAAAATTTTTTTTTATGAATACCTACCTGTGAAAAGATATCCATTTCACATCATCAAATAGTACAAATCCTGAACTAATTAATAGTTCACCAAAATTTTCTACGTCTATGCCATAATCCTCATGTTTCTTAAAATCAATACCTGATTTTGTTAATAGATCAATTGAATCCTGGGCATACATGTCACCTCTAAGAGTGTCTTGGGTGGATGGATAATAATAATATTATTATTATTAATATTAATATTCACATATATATATAGTTAAGTTTTCGAAGTTTTTTTTTGATATTAAAAGTATTAATCAGCAATATAATACGCACATCAAATTGAATTTAAAGTTGAATTGCCATGTACAAATATCTTGTGGTAATTTTCCGTTCTCATCTGCAAATGTGATGCCTAATTGAATTATTTTTAATAAATCAACATTACATCGAAGTGTTTGGTAATGGTAATCTGAGCTAGAACGAAAGCTGCCAACTGGTCGTGCCACTACACCAGGAAATTCAGTATCCTGAAAAAAAGATAATTTACACAATGAGTAAGGTAAACAAAGAATATATTTTTATATAAAAAAATAAATGTTACCATTGCAAGATAAGAATAATCTTCAACTAGATCACGAAGATAAGCCATCTCCTCTTCCAAATTTTCTGCCCATACTTCCCTAATATATTTACTTTCATTACTACCAAGCATTTCTGCAACGATGTATATATATTATATACAAGAAAAATAGTATTGAATTGGTGCAACTAAAAATTAAATGTATTAACCTTACCATATTTAGTAAGCGTCATTTCAAAAATCCAGGCTTACTTTTCATATTAGTCGTGGGACATTGCAAATCAAGTGTCATTCAATATAAACGTTACACAAAAAATTTATTGTCGTCCACTTCAAAAAAAAAAAATCTCCGTTTTTCATGTAACAAGCAACTTTCAACCATAATAAATTTTTTAGAGCCAGACTGGGGCTTTTAACAACAGTTAAAAGAAAAGACTAGCTTAAATA